CTATTGTAGTTCGATGCCTAGATTCATAACAAATGGAAATGGAGGGAGGGAATTAGTATTTATATAGTGTCTACTATGTGCTGGTGCTGAACTAAATACTTTTACACATATCTCATCTGATTTTCACAACAGCTTTGAGAGGTAGATGCTGTTAACTCCATTTGACATTCAGTTGAGAAAACTGAATCACTAAGAGGTGAAATGACTTAGCCAGGTCACACAGCTACAAAGTATCTGAAGTGAGATTTTTAACTCAGATCTTCCTGACTCCAGACCCAGTTCTATCTTCTGTGATACTGTGTAGGACAGAGACCACCCACTCAAAATAAAAACAAAGACTTAGATACCTTGAAAGCAGAAAGGAGTTTATTGCTTTCTTATAGAAAGGGTACCACCCCTAGTCCCCATTGCTGGCCAGGAGAGTATGAATTGGGAGCCGCACCCTTGGCTTTTTATCCCCTAACTAGATGCCCTCCTCACACTCTCTTACCCCTTTCTCCTGTGACTGGGTACTCAGGGCATACATTCTAAATGCAGCAGCTAACACCCCTCATACCCAATAGAAGTAAACATGCCCATGTTTGGACTAGATGTGTACTAGGAAGTATGAGTGACCAGGTGCCCAGCTCCCCTGAGCTCCCCCATTCATGCTGATGTGGTGCTGGAGAAATAGAAGCTTTTCGGGGAAAACCGAAACTTAACTCAAGGCTTTCTGGAGGAACGAAACTTGGGAACTGCACTGCAGGCCATCTCTCACACTCAGGCAGAGTGCAGGAGAGAGATAGGAGCATAGCAGGTAGTTAAGAGTGTAGCAAGGAGATACTAACGAGGGAACTTCACTGTGAGCCATCCCTCACAATACCAACTACTTCCAATGATAAAATTTAAAAATACTAAATTTCATTTAATGGTTAGTGAAATTAAAGATATGATTTCCCCCCCCCCATCCAAGTTCACAGATTCCTGTCATCCAGAAATCTACCCATAGATCCCTTGGAGGTACATGAACCCTGGGTTAAGAACCACTGCCCTAAATGATGAATGCATTGTATAAAACTCAGTGTATAACCTTCTTTTCCCCAGCTAAGAACTAAATCTTCCAAGTTTTAATGATCACAGCGTGCAGATTCAATTTAGCCTTATTATCTTGGACCTACTTTCTTGCCCCGGCACTTTCATGGTTCACCAGTTACCCCAGGTTTATCACTGACATCCTCATCCCCCTTGAGGCTTACTTATTCTGTATGTCATCTAATCAGAAATCTGTGCTTCCATTTCATCAGTTGTTTAATCTGATAAACGATTTGCAAATTATCACACAGAGATAAATTATCCTTGCATTCTTCCTTTCTTTTCCTTCCCCAGTCCCAATAATGTTGTTGTCTCCACCTTTAATAATACAAATTTTAAAGCCAGGGGAGAGGGAACGTATTTGGCAGGGAGTGGGTTAGCTTTTTGGTATGGTTCAAATCATGCTAACTACTCCATTTATCTAATTAGATGCACTGGGGGCAGCTGCCTAATGTGACTATTTTTCCTCTCCTGGCCTCAAGGGCGGAAAGTCTGAACTGGTTTGATAGGCTGATGCACTGGCCTATGAGGAAGAGTTCCGCCCCTCTCTCCTCCACGCCCCCTCCCCCTGCCCCATACATAGGGACTTTTTTTTCAAAATGGATTTTTTTTTTTTGTTAAGAGGCTTACCTAATTCAACTCCAAATTGTGGAGGAAAGATGGGGAAGAGGTGAGTGGGGAGGATGCAAACTCCTCCAGGCCCCCCCCCCCCCCCCCCGTTGGCACGCTTAAGCTCCTTCTGAGCATGTGTAGACCGCGCCTTCAGGCCTCCGGCAGGTCACGTGAACTCTCGGAATTTGTGCTCCTTGGCCTTGACTCCTGGTCACCTTCAGAGGCCTTTGCGTTGTGTTTCTTTTTACAGGAATGTAACCCTCCCTAGTGGGTTCTTCAGATCTTGGGTTTATGAGCTTTGTCCTCAGGCCCTCAGGCTCACTCGTTCCAGGAGCTTCTAGTTTAAATGCCTTACTTCTCTTCACAGTAGGCCCTCAGCCTTGTTACCATTTAGGGACCACGCAAAATAGGCTGCTCAGATCTCACCCTCAAACTCTTCCTCGGCTCTTGCCCACCCTCAGACCTTATATCCTCGGCACTTACTTGCCCCTCCTACCCCGTTCCTCCCTCCCCCTTCCCTAACTCGGTGAATCCTGATGGGCAGCTCAGGCCAATCCTGACTTCTTCCTTCTCTACCCTTGCCTTCAAGTCTTTTCTTTCCACACCAAGCCCTCATTCCCCAGGCTCAGAATCTTACCAAGAACTAGTCTGTACCATCTAGAGCCCCTACTCTTGCTCATATCAGGCTCTCAGTCCTTATTGCAATAATAATAGTAAGACTTCACCCTCAAATTCCCCTCCCTTCAGACCTTACCCTCAAGCTCCTTCCCCCCCACCCCAGTCTTTCCTACCCTCAGTCTTCTTGCCCAGCCCGACCTCATCCTCCATCCTTTCTGCTCAGAACAGGGTATTCATCTTACAGGAGGACATTCTTGGGTCCTGCCCTCTCATCTCTACCTACACTCCTTCTTACCTTACACCAAACCCTTGGTTTGCAGGCTTATACTTGGAGCTTTTACTATGGCTATGGTGTGCTGTAAGTCTTTCCAATTGAAGTCATTTTCCACAAGCAAGCCTTCCTCTGACCAGGCTGTGAGGCATTTTGCTCAGACCTGACCTTCAGACCTTGGCTCATACTTAGTTCTCAGGCTGGTACTTAGCCCTTACTCTTCAGGATGAATGGAATGTGCTCAGTCTTTCCAGCAGCTCATGGGGTTTCCAGTCATTCCCCATAAGGCCAGGCCCTCAGTCCTCGTACTCAGACTCCAACCATGCTCTCTGAAACTTTGACTTGAAGGGCCCTTTCTCCTGGTGTTCAAGTCAGATCGTTTATGCTCCCTGGAGTGAATGTCCCTCTTCCCTCTTAGCCTAGTTGGACTTTGACAGGGCACTACCCTTAGTCTCCATTCCTACTCTGACCAGGGTTTCAGCTCCCTGCTCTTGCACTTGAGACAGGCATTGCAGTGTCAGCTGAAGTTGAGGGAGCAGAGTGGTCGGGGCACAGAGGTAGCCTTGAAGAAAGTGGCATGAATAGAGTGATAGGGCCTGAAGCCTGACTAATTGGAAGGAATTAAGGGAGGGTTATGAGAAGCTGTTTATATAGTGCTTACTAAACTAAGTGCCTTACAATTATTATCTTATTTGATCCTCACAACAACCCCTGGGAAATAAGTGCTATTATCATCCCCATTTTACAGATAAGGAGACTGAGGCAAACAGGTTAAGTGACTTATGCAGCCAGGGTCACAGAGACATAGTGTCTGAGGCTGCATTGGAACTCAGGTCTTTCTGACTCCAGGCGGGGCACTCTGTCTACTACTGCATCAACTAGCTGTCTCACATCTGTGGGAACATCCTTCTGTTTAAGTTCATTGGTCGTGAAGAGTCAAGGACACATGCTTTTTAGGTTTGTGGGGATCTAATTGCAGAAAGAAAGGGAGTCAGTGGTGAGGAAGAGATTGAAGATGAGAAAGAGAAAGGGGATGACTACCAGAATAAGGTCATGGAAGGATTGGGAATAGATGGGGCAGGAGTACATTGTTTCTTGAAGCTGGAGATAGAGTGGAAGGTAGATGATGCTGCTGAGAATTTTTCAGTAAGGGAGATGAAGAAACTATTATTGGATGAGCTTGCTTTCAGTGAAGCAGAAGGGTCATTTGCTGTAAAGGAAAAGGGCAATAGACTTTGGAAGCTTAGGGAGAGAGGAGAAAGTATGGAACAATCACTCTGAGGGATAAGGCAGAGAATTAAAGAGTAATGTAGAAAGGCAGTAAAATCATGGAAAGAGTACTGGTTCTAAAGTCAGAGGACCTGGTGAATCATGACTCTTTTACTAACTGTGACTTTGGGAAGTAATTTTATTTGTTGGTATCTTAGTATCCTTAAAAGTAAAATGAAGGAATTACATTTTGTCATCTCTAAAGCCTTTCCAGCTCTAACTTTCCAGCTCTGTAGTCTTATGATGATTGAGGAGCAGGGAAGTCCTACCTAAGGATTTACACCATACATTTATAGTGGGTGAGACACTGACTTTTCCTTATTCTTACACCAGGTCTCTCCTGGCCACATTTGATCAGTTTTGATGCCATGGTCTGCCATTCCAGTTAACATCCTCAAATATTTCACCCTTAATTCCACCAGCACCATCTACCATTCCCAGCCTTCTAATAATCCATAACTCTGGATAACCCTCACTGTTGAATTTATTTGCCTCTATATATTTTATACGTACATATTTGTTTTCATGTTGTCTCTTCCATTAGAACAGGAGCTTCTTGAGGGTAGGGATTGTTTTTTCTTTCCTTTGTAGCCTTAGGTCTTAGATGACACAAAATAAATGCTTAATAAATGCTTGCTGATTGACTGATTAGTGTGGTAACCCCTTCACTGGAGAGTTTAGAGAATTAATCATACTGGTAGTTCCAAATAAAATTTGTAGTATTGCTTTGGCTACAGAAGGCTTCTTTCTCAGGTATACTATTTTCCTTTATTGAGACGATGAGGCTTCCATAGTACTCATTATTTTAGATGAAACATCCTGGTAAATTCAAATTAAATGGCATTTCAAATAATTTAAAAATATATTTTTTCATTCAAACTTTCAGAGAGCATAAAAATATATTTGATGGAAATAGTGTGACATTAATACAATTTTTACTATGACAAATCGAAAGCATAAAAATATAGTCAGAATTTCAAATTCTACTTAAGGTTTATTAAAAATGTTTAGAATTCTTTTAGTACTGGTTAAATGCAATTGTGCTAAAAGCTTAGATGACAGTTGCCTCAATTTACGACCAATCATAAATTTTACATTAGATACGTAGCACAGTTTAAGCATTTATAAAAGGTAACACCTTTTTGATTATCCTTTATAGTGATAAAAATAAAAGAAGAACCAAAACAGTAAAGAAAACATTGGAACCTAAGTGGAATCAAACATTCATTTACTCTCCAGTTCATCGAAGGGAATTTCGAGAACGGATGTTGGAGATTACCCTTTGGGATCAAGCTCGAGTTCGAGAGGAAGAAAGTGAATTTTTAGGAGAGGTATGAGGGATTATTTAAAGACTTAAACTGTTAACTTGTTGAATAGTATTAATTATAAAAAGACCAATAAAATAATTCAAAAACTTTTAGAAATGACTGAACAGAAGTACATTATTTTTATAATAAAAAGGGTTGCTAAGATTTTTTTTTCCTTTTTGTACTTTGTCATCAAAGTCATTAAAATATCAGAGTTAAATACTATGTTTTTTACTTGCTTCCTAAGCTGGTATAAAAATTAAAGTGTTGATGTTGGTTTGGATTTAAATTCTATTTTATGTCATCTTATTTCATTTTTGTAAATTTTATTTTATTTTTTACTGAGTTAACATCACTTTTGCCTTATGGGGTCTTTTGCATACCTTGATTCTTCAGAGTCATTTTAACAGATTTTTGAAATAAAACAAACAACCAAACAAATATAGAATCACTGAGATGTATGGAACAGCAGAAATTTCAAAGTATACTAATGGTAGAGTTGGAAGAGGATGAGAAATTAGTTATCAACTTAAAGTGATTAGTTCAACAATATTTAGGGAGAAGTAAAAATCTTTGGAAAATAAAAATTGTAGGATTGTGTGTTTGCTTATCACTTTGTGTATCCTGGACAATTCAATTAAATTAAAAAATCCTTTTTGGCACTTGCTACAAACAAGATGCTTTACCAAGAACTAGGAATACAAAGACAAAGTCAAAACAGCTCCCACTCTTGAGTTGTTTATAGTTAGATGAGAGAATACCTATGAACCAACAAATATCTGCAAAGTAGCACAAAACATTTCTGGAGAGAGGCAATACTAATAACTAGGGGAATCAGAAGATGCCTCCAGTAGATGATTCCTGAGCTATATTCTGAAAGAAGCAGGGAGTGCATGGTAGGGAATGGGGGTGGGGGACACAGGTAAAAGGGGAAAAGATGGGAGATCCCTTTTACATTCTTTAATACTCTAAGGGCAACAGTAGTCATATTTGTCCCTGCTACATAAATGTTATAGTGTTAGATGAGTCTGAAAGCAATGCTATGCACATCAAAAGAACATCTCCTTGATGTTTTCACATCAATTAATTGATTTAATTAAATAGAATTAGATTAATTAATTAGAATTAATTTTAGTGGTTCCTGTGATGCTTTTAGCAAAGTTCTATTACCTAGCTGGGGATGTCCTTATTTGGTGCTTCAAATAGCAACCCTTAATTCTTTTCACCACCTTCAAGCAGCATCTGAGAGGAGTCCACTTATGTAACTATAAGGCAGAATCATACTTCATAGTAGCATTTGTTTAGTGTCCTGTAAATTAAAATGTGTTTTCTGGTAAGTTGAGGAGGTCATAGAATTGGTTGATAAATTATATGTATTGCTTTCTTTCCTCTGTCGAATCTCAAATTTAGTACAAATTCCTAATGACCTATCACTGAAAATCTGTATTTAGTATTATTCTATTTTAAGAATTTAACCAGCTTATTAAACAAGAGTTAAGTTTTTCTTAATAAAAGAAACTTAATAAATAAAACTTAATAAAAGTTTGCATGTATAGGGTTTTTTTTGTCACCTATTATATTGCCAACCATGTGGAATAGAGATCAGGTCTTATTTATTTTTGTATTTCCCTCAGTGCCTTGCATATAGTATACACTTAATAAATGTTCACTGAGTGAATGAATGAATAATTGAACCTTTTCTGGTTCTGAAAAGAAGTATTTTGTTTATTCTCAATATTTCCCTAGGTGTAGATACTAGTTTCTAGACAGCTATTACAGAGTTGAGAGAGTACTTTTGATGACTCCCACCATTCTAGGAGTCATTTCATGTCGGTAAGTGCCTCTAATAGGAAAAGAAAGAACTTCCAATGAATAATTAAAAACAAGGTAATGAACAGGAATCATCAATGTGAGGCAAATGGTTCATTCCCCCTAGTTTTCTTTGGAAGGCAAAGAAATTTATTTCCCTTTTTTTCTGTTTCTCTTTTTTCATTGATCATTTATTTATATAAACCTTCATTCATTATAACTGTTAACTGATTGCTGTTGACTGCAAAATTCTCATTAGTTAACAGCTAAGGTCCTGTAAACTTTTTCAGTAAGCTAAATAGAAACTGAAAACTTAAAGTCTTAGTTACTTAGAGCTGATAAAGACGTTTTAGATTTCTCCCCAATTTAATTGTCAACACATATAAAAATTATTTTTTAAAATTTTTGTCTTTCAATTACTGTAGTACTTTAAAAATTATTCCAAAAGGTATGTGACCATGTAAGATAATTTATTTACTGTTTCTACTTGCTTTTGTAACAACCACTGTGCCTATTGCTTCTGCAGATTCTAATTGAATTAGAGACAGCATTATTAGATGATGAGCCTCATTGGTATAAACTTCAGACACATGATGTCTCTTCATTGCCACTTCCTCACCCGTCTCCATATTTGCCACGACGACAGCCACATGGGGAGAGCCCAACTCGAAGGTTGCAAAGTAGGTTTCAGTACTTCTTATCTGGTATATCTTACTTGGATATTTCTGACTGTTGACTTTTTGTAATGTTGTAAGATGCTAAATATTTTGTGATTATTTTATAGATTTCTGATGCTGTCTCCATGGCTTCTAAAGACTATTTTGAATTGTATAAAATTATAACATTATGTTGTTTATGTAAAATTCATAGAATGCTTTTTATGGTTGTCGGATTTTTTAAATCTATAGATCCAAGTGAAGCACATTTGATATATTTTTAACATTAACATTTAAAGTCTTAAGTACAGTAATTAGTTAAACTATGCAGTGATATTTTGTCTGCAAAAACTAATTATCCAACTAGGTACATTCTAGTTTCCTTAGTTTTGGGTTTCTCTTACAGAAATATTTATTACTTTTGCTTTCCCTGGGTAGAACCCTTGAACAGTGACTGTGGTTATCCCAGCATTTTTCAAAGATTATTTCCAGTTCAGAGAAAGTTGTTTTATCCATAATAAAGAATTCTACCGCTTACTTTAAGCCATAAACTTCTTCTGAAGGCATTTAAAAACAGGCATCCCTCTTAACTCTGAAGTAACAAGACTTCTCTTAATGAGGCTGTTGTAATATTGTTACCATGTAGTAGGTTGATTATTTCAGACTGGGACTATATGAGGTCTGCTGCTTCCTAGTGGGTTCAGAGACTTGATTTTGAAATTTCTGGAGAATTTAACTCAAACTCATAATAGACTGATTTATTTACAAACCATAATGGTCAATTGTTAATTTTACAGTGGGAGATAGAGTTGGCAAGATAACCATTACTTTTCATTTCCAGGAGATACTTCCCTCTAAGTGGGTAGGGTAAAATGAGGAAAATAAATTATGACCCAAAACAATGTTTGATGAAAATGGAATCAGGGTAGATAAAACTTGATAATACTGAGAAGAGTTACATAAGATTCTACTGTAGTAGAGCCTACAAAATAAATCTTTTTCCATTAATAGAATATTCCTTTTAGAATATTCATATCCACCAAACTCAGTATCTCTGTCTTGCTTTCCTTCACAGTGCTGAACACTGACAATTTCTTAATACCTAGATTGTTTCTTTCTAGACTCCCCAAGGATAATTCAGCCTCCTGTTTACATTTGCCACTATTACATGCCCTCATGATTGTTTATGATTTTTGAAATTACCATTTATTTTACTGTAATTATTTTTTAGGTGATAGCTTCCTGGCACTTTAATTTTATCAGCAAACTGTCTCCAAATGATATTGTTCAATAGGTCTTCATTTTGGGTCTTCAAATTAGAATAATGACACTTTTGAACCTGTATTTTAGAGCTGTTGTTTGATCTTTGAATCTTATGTTCACTTACTATAGCTCGCTCTAGGAAAGAAATTTAAACCTTATGTGTAATTGTTAAAAGTATCTCGTGGCATCTCTGAAATTTATAAACCAGCAGGTTGTTGTGGGTATAGGCAAACAATAGGGGCTTAGAAATGGGTATTAGGGCTAATGAGTTAGGTCAATTATGATTATTTATACAACGCTCCTTAATGGCAGGAAGATCACTTCTTAAGGGCTACACTCCATGTAGGAGGCAATCACATATGCCTATATCCTACAAATTATGAAATAACCTCCTTTAAAATTTAACTATGTGAAATAAGAACTTGGTATGTTGTATATAAGGAAAAAAATTATGGTCAGTGGGTACCCAATAAGTACTTATTATAGAAAATTAACCAATGTTATATAGTTCTAGTAGTCCAAGATTAAATTATCTAAAGATATAAACTCTATTTTTCTACTTAAAGGCTAAAATTCTGGCTTTAGAGATTATATGAACCTGGGTATTAAGATGAGTAAATGACATTAATGAAAATTACCTTTTTCAGGCCTTATTTCTATATTTAATTTTTTAAAAGAATTCAAATTGATTTATATATATATATATATATATATATGTGAGTGTATATATATGTGCATATATATATGTATACTCTATAAATATTTTTTAAATTCATTTGAAAAAGATTCAATGGTCTTATAATTATCTTCAGTATAAGAGCTTCTTCTTTGTGAGATGGGAAGCTATCTTGCTAACATTTGTAATCTTTGAATGGGTTGACCAAAAAGGCATTAATAAATGTAAGAATGTATAATAGGCAGTTAGTTGCCTTTTCCAAGTGACGAAGAAAGGAATGCTTCATATAATAACATAATTATGTTGATAAACATATTCTCTAAATAATGGGGCACAAACAATTAGCTTGTGGACAAGTTGTAATTGTAATGAATATGGAGGTTTTCTATAGCCTACTTTTGTATTTTTTCAAGATATGAAATGTTCACTGATAACAGAAGGTATCATAATTATAGTGATGATGAACGAATGTGAGAAAGATCACTGGAAATTTTCTGGGACAGCTGGCTGATAACATTTTAAAAAAATGTCACCAAGAGTGGAATTTTGCTTTGAAATTATTAAAATCTCTCTCTCTCTGTGAGGCATTTGGGGTTAAGTGACTTGCCCAGGGTCACAGAGCTAGTAAGTGTCAAGTGTCTGAGTATGTATTTGAACTCAGGTCCTCCTGACTCCAAGGCCAGAGCTCTATCCATTGTGCCACCTAGCTGCCCCTAAAATGTCTCATAACTGAAGTGGTGTTATTTTTTAAATGTTGAAGTTTCTTTAATGCATTATCCAGTTTTCTGATTCACTAATAAGGATCATTCATTATATTGAATTCAGTAAACATTAAGTATGTTATATGTGCAAGATACTGTTAAACATACCAGCTCCTTGAAAATATAGAGCTTGTGTTGAAAAATTTCTTGTGCTTTTTAACTCTTAAAATGTAAATATTCATAAGAGTTTAATATATTTTAATAAAACATCTGACTTTATAATAAAAGTTAATTGTTTTGTACCTTTTAAAATTTTTCCTTTACTTTCTTCTCTTATTGATATCCTAATTTAATCCCTTTCTTTGCATCAAACTAACTCGACAACTCTTTTACTTATTACATGTTTGTATATTACTTAGTGTTAGTTGGAAGTATTAACTATCTTTAAGATCTCTTCACTTCTTCTAGTATATAACATCTTCCAACTTCACAGACATAAAATCTTCAAAGGAAAATGAACAGGAACAGTATCCCATGGGGAATAGAGAAATGATCCTGTTGGTTCAGTAGTATGGGTAGACAGGTAAAAACATAAGATGGTTTAGATTTTCTTAAATGGAAGAACTTTTCTTACCTTTCATTTTTAATGCTGTTAGTCTAAGACAGAGGTTTCAGACTCATATATGGGTCTGAACTAAGTTAAAGTGTAATTGGGAAATATTTTAAAAATAAAAGTAAAATATAACATAGATAATCATAAATGTGGCTTTCTGAGTAAATATGTGGTCCCCAGGCCACATTATGTGTGGGTTTAGTAGTTAGACACCAGTAGTCTAAGAGATTTTTTTTTTGGCGGCATCTATATGGTTATGTCATCTTCTTGGGTTTTCATAGTTGCTTTTTAAGAAGCTATAGATCATGTAGAATGCAAAATATTGTGTCTCTTAACCTTTGCCTCTATGTCCATTCTGAAGGTATTTTTTTTTTGTAATAAACAAATTGTAAACTTTTATAAGTTTATAAACTCTACACTGTGGTAAAGAGCCCTTAGAAAACACAGAAAGGTTTTAATTTAACTTAGTTCCAAACAGGCTGTTGATTAGACTTATATTAAAGAGAATCTCTGTGTACATTTATCATTTATCAGCAAATGCTTACTACTATTGAATCTGTCTAATAGTATTAGTATTCATTTTTATGAAATGAATGTTGGTAGCATTAATTTTCTGTCCATTTTTCAAGCAGTCTTTTTTTTTCTTAGAAAATTGTTGTTCAGCCACTTTTTTCTGCTAATGAAAATAACTCTTATATTTAGAAAATTCAATTCACTGGTTATTTACTAAACATCTGTCATATACAGAGCATCGGCAAGGCACTAGAAGTGATAAAAAGATCAAATAAGGCATGGTCCTCAAACGAATGAGTGTTATAATCTAAAAGAATGTATAGAAGAAAAACAGATATTTATAAAACCTGTCATATTTGAAGTTGATTCTTCTGCTCTTCTATTCTTAAAATTTATTTTTTTCTAGAACATTTCAAACAAGTAGTTACGAGTTCTATTTCATTTATTTTGCCACTTAGAATTAGGGATTGGTGGTTCAGTGTAGCAGTAGAAAAAACAGTGAATGGATAAGAAATTTTGGGTTTAATTTTAAAGGATGCTTTATGGCATTTGTTTTTCTTAAATCCTTCCTCAAAAATAAATCAATTTTTAGAGAGGCAGCAAATAAATCCTGAAATTATATTTTTTCAGATAGTAGTCCTATTTGGTTGGAATTTGGAGTATGTGATGAAGCTGGAAAGATATATTGGAGCCAAATTGTGGAGAACCTTGAGTGATCTTGATCAGGAATTTATACTTTATTTAGTAAGCAGTGGGGAGCCCCTGAAGGTTGTTTTTTTAAGGGACATACAGGTTAAGAACCTTATGTAAAGAAGATAAGCCACTAGTGATCAGGATGGATTTGTAAAGGAAAGATTGGAGGCAGAAGACCAGTTAGTCTAGGTGCAGAAAGATCAGGACTTAAGTCCAAGGTTGTTACAGTGGAAGTTCAGTTGATAAGACTTAGGAGTTGAATAGATTTATGGGGCACGGGAGATGGAAGTGTCAAAGATGATCCCAAAGCTGTGAAGCTTTGTTACTTGGAGAATGGTGCAAACATCAAGAGAAATAAAGAGGAGGGGAAAACTTTTTTGAAATGCTGAAGAATCAAGTTTTGGACTTGTTAAGTGTAAGGTACCAACATACCATTTGGGTACTGGATCCCTAGGGAGCATATATTTCATACTCATTTGCATAGGGTTGATAATTGAAGCTTAGAGAGTGGATGAGATCCTCAAGGAAGAGAATATATTGAGAGAAAAGAGCTCAAAGAAAGAAC